AGATTCTGGTAATTTCTAGGGCTATTGTCAAAACTACTGTCAAACAGGCATTGAAAACTGGGCCCTGTCATTGGGGACATGTATCAATGCAATATAAAAAACAGTACAACGGAGAGCGGGTCTTTTCATGCGGCTTTGATGGCAACATTGACAAAACACAAATCCTTTACTGTATATAACAAGTTTGGAGATGCCTTAATGCTGTATGTGGTATTACAGAATAGTACAGTTTTCACAGACAGCCCCAGCGACAGTGTTCACTGGTAGTGCATATTATTCTGTGGAATTGATTTTGTTTTCCTTTTACAATTGGCTTGGCTTACATACAACAGCAAATAGAGCCCATAGATGTCCGCGACTTTCCCGGCCCTTCCAATGAGGCAGGGGGGTATCATGGAAAAAATGGGGATTTAAATGGTGCACTGTCAAAAAATGACAGGGGTATACCACCAACCGATGTATTCATCTTGTGAGTAGCCAAACACAGAATGAATCAATATCCAGGATTCTATATAGTAAAATACTTAGTGAATAGAACCAGAGACTAAACAGTCAACTCTTGAAATGTTCATGATGATACTACATCAAACAGAAGACTCTAACTCCATATAAGAAGAGTCAGTCTCCCAACAACACAGCGTTATGGTCGGTACAAACAGTTAAAATAGCGGGAACACATACAGCATTATATACAACAGCAGCACCCCAATCTGAGTAATTTCAGTGTGAAAAAAAATTTTCAGGTTTTTTTTGGTGGTTTTAGCAGCAACACATGAAATGGTAATAAACTTTGACTAAAATGATAGAAATTTCTGTCAAACATTCATTAGTAATGAAGAGACCGCAAATGATACAGCACTGTAAAATTAGCCATCGTTGGGCATTATTAATAAGGCAGAATAGGTCAAAATGTACTAGAGAAAAAAAGATTTCAAGCAGATGTTTTACTATAAGAACTAAGATATGGCAGAGAATACAGCAGTGGAAATCTGGCCAGCAGCCAAACAGTTTTGATCAGGATTAATAGGCCCAATAGGTGTATGTATATTTTAATATTGGACTGCGCCAACTGACATAGATACCGCTATTTTAAATTCCAAACAAAAAAGAAAAAAAAGAAGAAGAAAAACAAAGGGGAGCAGCTCTCTACTTTCTTGGAAGCCAAGAAAGAAGCAGGGTGGGGCTTTGGATGTGACGGCACTACGTACGGGTAAGCCTCCAGTGTTCGTGGAGCCCAGTACTGATCCGTCTTGTATATACGCGCTGTTATTGCTAGTGTCGGCCATGACACTTTGTTTGTAAGCGCGGTTTATGCTCTCTTTATGGAATAAAAATGATTTTATGGTTTTAAGCTTCCTCTTCCTTTCATATGGTATGTATATGCATGAGGATTTATCCATAGAGGTGAACAGGCTGTCGGCATCCCTGCAGATCCCAGAGCCACTGCTCATTAGCTGGTTTATAACATTACCAGCATAGAGCTCTGGTGAGTTTATTTAATTTGGCTGGTGGATTTTTCACAGTGTGATGGTGTTTTAACAAGAAGCATGAATATTTATGAAGATTGCATAATTGAATATGAGCTAATTTGCACATTTATTTATGGACGTTTAAAAAAATTGAAAAATAAATTGATAATATTGCATGGACACTTATGTAAGCACATATAATATTGATTATAGATATTAGTCACGTATGTGATAGTATTGAAGATTTTTGTTTCCACGGGTTATAACATATTATATTATGGCATATAATTTATTTTTTACACCAATAGGTGTATGCCTAACTTTTATTTATCTATGGGGATAGAGGGGAGCCATGAATGTGTGTGTTATAATATGAGGTGGTTTAGATGCACGCTGTTCTGGCACTGGCAAATGGCAACTCCAAGAAAAGACTGTCAGCAACAAGTGCTTTGAGCACCTTGAACTTAAAAAGGCCTTGATCAATGCAAAATAAATATTAAAATAAAAATACAAGAGAAATTAAACCTCCAAAATACCTCCCCTGAAAGTAAAGCCTACCTTTTTAAAGAAAATCTGTGATGCAATGAGCAGTTTAACCTAAAATAAAGGACCTGACAACAAATAATAAAAAACAAAATTAACCCTAAAAATAAATGAAAATCCCCAAATACAGGCCTCAGACAAAATTCCTTTTGTGCAACAAAAAATAAGACATTTGCTATGGATGGGACAGCAGCTAAATGTAACCACTGACCTTAAATCAACCACAAAATAAAATTAAAACAATGAAGTCCACCAAAAATAAGTAAAGTACTATTTCTGGACTAACACTAATCTCTGCCTGTGCAGTTTTTCAGCTTTCTCTATCCTTTTTTGTTTCAGCAGATTCCAATAAACTGACACTATGGCTGCTCTGTGCCCAGTGCCCACCCTTTTATAGTGAGGGTGCTGGCTTGTTCAAAAGCCCCCTTAAGTGGCTCTTCTAAGCCTTCTGACTATAGTTCAAAAGCCACACAGTGCATTATGGTTTAAAAAAAATTCTCCCATGTGGAACTGCATAAACAATCAGTGGGACTGCAAATCTCAAAACCTGCAGGATTTGCCTTGAACCCATTGTAGCAACAAACCTAATTACAACCAATGGTGGCTACACTGCTCCTTCATAGGTACAACAGAGTAGTGTTCTTAGGTTTGGATACACCAGCAAGAGACCTTGCTGGTGTCAGAATTTTGTAAGGCCCCTGCAGCCACGAGCCGCAGCTGTCAATCATTGGGTCCCGGCTGGTGATTCCCCACCGGCGCCCGGTGATTATCAAGCATCTCCAACAGGGAGGAGGACTGCTTTGTTTATTAACAGTCCTCCTCCCTATTGGCTCAGGCACACTGCTCTGGATGGCTGTGCACAGCACAGCCATCCAGAGCAGTGGGCTTACAGTGAAGCACCAACACATCATCCCCCAGTAAAACACTCCCAGCACACAGTTAACCCTTTGATCACCTGTCATGTTAACCCCTTCCTGCCCAGTGCCATTAGTACAGTGTCAGTGCTTTTTTTAGCACTGATCACTGTATTGGTGTCACTGGGGATGTCAGTGACACCAAGTCAGTTCCCCCCAGTGACAGAATGCCCGCTGCATTCCTGCAGTCCCGCTATAAGTCGGTGATCGCCGCCATTACTAGTATAAAAAAAAAATCCAGTATCTATAACGCTATTTGTAAATGCTATAACTTTCATATAAACCAATTAATTTACACTTATTGGGATTTTGTTTAGCAAAGACATGTAGCAGAATACATTTTGGTGTAAATTTATGACGAATTTTGATTTTTAAATTTTTTTTTACTGGACATTTTAATAGCAAAAAGTTAAAAATATTGTTTTTTTCTCACAATTGTTGGTCTTTTTTTTTTTATAGCGCAAAAAATAAAAAACACACAGGCAATCAAATACCGCCAAAAGAAAGCTCAATTCGTGAGCAAAAAAAGGACGTAAATTTAATTTGGGTGCAGCGTGCATGACCGCGCAATTGTCAGTTAAAATAACACAGCGCCATAATGCAAATAATGGCCGGTCAGGAAGGGGGGTAAATCCTCAGGAGGGCAAGTGGTTAATCTTTGTTTTTAAGCAATGCATGATATTTTTTTTAGTTGTGCTTTTGGTGAGAATTCCAAACGTTATTCAGTTTTAGCTTCTTCACCAACTGTGGCAAATTACTCTCCAAGTTCCATTCTTCACTCTACCTTCACAATATTTCCTATGCAACCTTAAGTAGCCTAATAACAATGTTCTAGAAATACATTAATCTACAAACTCCTGTGCCCCGAATCTGTAGTTCTTCCAACTGTACTCTGCAGCACGTGGGAAGATGAATACAGGATCCCCTGCATGAATCCCACATGGCAGCAATTCAGGCTGGAATGTGACAGTGATTTGCTGGAATCCACTGCTCTAAAACCGCAAAGTTGTGTAAATCATTTACAGGTTAGACTGTGCACTAATGGAAAAAGGAAACTACAATTTGCACAACAATAAAAACTACTGAGGGTGGTGGAGAGGAATCTTCCTGCAGAAATATAGCCACCCTCCCCAATTAAATAGTAATTACTACTTCAAACATGTACCTATTTTGTCCTCAAAGAGAACATCCTCTAAGTAATTATGAAGTGTCCATGTGAGTGGGATCAACCTTTACTTGTTGAAAAGGTAGTACAACCAAATTCACACATTACGACTTGATTCTATTTTGGGATTTGAGTGTGATACCCTCCTCTATTGTCTGCAGTTCTGAAGTGGAATTAATAAATCTTAGCATGAAATGACCAACCTCTGCTGTGTCTTCTTGGTGAAGGTTTTAGTAATCTGATGCTAACCATTTGGTGTACTACACGTCTTTAATTCAAATGGCTCTTAAACACATAGTATACGTTTTTAAAAGATGATTCTTAGGTATATATGCTAGATTCAGGGACATACTGACATCTCTACAGCTCAATGGTAGAATTTGATGTCTTACAACCTTAATCCCCCATTTGAATTGTCTGTACTTAACAAGTGGTTCTCAGGGGAATGGGTAAGTCATTATATGCACCTGTCACCTCTACAAAAGCCGTTTTCTCCAGTGATATTATTGGTTCATAGTAGGTCAATAGATTTCACAAATGTTGGCTGAGACCTCTATATAAATGGCATCCACTAGAAGAAGCATATACTATAGCTATGCTGCATTATGTTCTTTCAGAGCATTTGTTCATTTTTAATGAATTAATCTAATTAGAAGCAGATAAGAAGAAATTGGAGAGAAGGATATACCCCCCTCATACATGGTACTGCTTTAATCAGTAAAATGGTTGCACTAAAAAAAGATTCACCTTGTACATTTCTCTTCAAGGTTATGACTAGAGATGAGCGAATTATTCAAAAATTCGGTTCGGCTGATTCGCCGAATTCGCGGAATAAATTCGCTTCGAGCCGAATATATTCGCTGCGAATTTAACTTATAAAAAGGGTGTTTTCTAGGCTTCAGAGAGCCTTTATATTAGTGCAGAACACTGTACCTTTAATTTAAATGCCCTTGGAGTCTGCTGGGGAAGAGAAATAATACTGTCAGTCAGTATGACATGCAGATGAGTGCCGTCGATCTTAGAATCACCGCACACTTCACTCATTTGGGCAGTCACGGGGCCAAAACCAGAGTGTGGAGCCACAGTGTGGCGGTGGAGGCAGCAGCAATGGGAGGCCATACATCACCCTATGACAAAATGGAACCCACCAGCAGTGTGAGGAGACCTGAAAGTGGCACATGGCAGAGTGTGGCGATGGAGACAGCAGCAATGGGAGGCCGTACAGGGACCCATGACACACTCTGGACCTGGCAGCAGCATGAGGAGGTGGTACAGGGGCCCATGGCAGAGTGGCGAAGCGTAAGCAGCTTAAATTGAAGGCCATACAGAGGAAGTCAGCGTTGTGATTGCAGATGCAATGCAGAGATTCTATGAGGTGATGCCGTGGGTGCGAAGAAGATCATATACCGTCGTACTTCCATCCATAAGACGGAACAACCTGCGAACCGGGAGCTTTATTGCCCTGACCCGCTGAGCAGCTTCTGGGATACCCAAGAGGCCCATGGCAGAGTGGCGGAGCGTAAGCAGCTTCAATTAAAGGCCATACAGAGGCCTATGTTAAAAAGTCCCCCCAGCAGCAGCGTGGGGAGACGACTATCAAGAGTCCAATGGCAGAGTGGCGGAGCGGAAGCAGCTTCAATTGAAGGCCATACACAGGCCTAGGTTAAAAAGTCCCCCCAGCAGCAGTGTGGGGAGACGACTATCAAGAGTCCAATGGCTGAGTGGCGATCCGGGAAGTCAGCGTTGTGATTGCAGATGCAATGCAGAGATTCTATGAGGTGATGCCGTGGGTGCGAAGAAGATCATATACCGTCGTACTTCCATCCATAAGACGGAACAACCTGCGAACCGGGAGCTTTATTGCCCTGACCCGCTGAGCAGCTTCTGGGATACCCAAGAGGCCCATGGCAGAGTGGCGGAGCGTAAGCAGCTTCAATTAAAGGCCATACAGAGGCCTATGTTAAAAAGTCCCCCCCAGCAGCAGCGTGGGGAGACGACTATCAAGAGTCCAATGGCAGAGTGGCGGAGCGGAAGCAGCTTCAATTGAAGGCCATACACAGGCCTAGGTTAAAAAGTCCCCCCAGCAGCAGTGTGGGGAGACGACTATCAAGAGTCCAATGGCTGAGTGGCGATCCGGGAAGTCAGCGTTGTGATTGCAGATGCAATGCAGAAATTTTATGAGGTAATGCCGTGGGTGCGAAGAAGATCATATACCGTCGTACTTCCATCCATAAGACGGAACAACCTGCGAACTGGGAGCTTTATTGCCCTGACCCGCTGAGCAGCTTCTGGGATACCCAAGAGTTTGGCTTCTGTGGGGAATATGGTTGAAAACTGAAACTTAAAGGCATGTTGACGGAAGGGCACCAGTGTCAGTGCTCCGGAGGGGAATATAGCTTCAAAGCTGACACTTAAAGGTATATCGACGGTCAGAGACCACAGGAAGTGGAGCTTGCGTCTTAAATCGACTGAATGTGGCAGACGTGAAACGTCTACGGGCCGTATATGAAACGGGTTGTTCCTCTTTCTGGAATAAGTGTTGGAAATGGCCACTCTTTTTGGTGTGGCGTTTTGTCTATTTAATTCCGATAACGGACTCTACTCCTCCGTGCAATCTAGTTACGAGACCCTGGGCAGGTCTGGGTCCAATTTGTGTGGTAGAGACTGGTTTTGTTCAGCCATGCTTAGAGCGAGTAATAACAGGTCTGTGCTGCCCTTTGGTGTCTGGCTTAATGCGCACAACACTGAACGTCCCAGCATTTGTCAACGATTTGCCGTTAAGTGATGCAAACCCGCTGAACCACGTTCATGAGGAGCCGGTACAGGGGGCCATGAATCAGTATGGACCTGGCAGCAGTGTGAGGAGACCCGAAAGTGGCACATGGCGCAGGGTGGCGGTGGAATGGCAGCAGTAAACGTCGGAAGTATATGACAGGACAGTTTACAACAGGACTAGTTTAAAAAGAGCCGTCAGCAGCGTGAGCAGTTGACGGACAGAGGCACATGGCGCAGGGTGGCGGTGTGGAAATGGCAGCAGTATTCGGAAGCCATACACAGGCCTAGGTTAAAAAGCAGAAGCCGTCAGCAGCGTGAGCAGACGACAGAGGCACATGGCGCAGGGTGGCGGTGGAGGCAGCAGTATTCGAAAGCCATACACAGGCCTAGGTTTAAAAAAGCAGAACCCAGCAGTGTGAGCAGACGACAAAGACGGCACATGGCGCAGGGATGGATCTGGCAGCAGTATTCGAAAGCCATACACAGGCCTAGTTTAAAACTGGAACCCAGCAGTGTGAGACAGACGACAAAGGCGCAGGGTGGCGTGGGATGGCAGAGGGTTAAAAAGCAGATGGATCTGGCAGCAGTATGAGAAGGCGGGCACAGGGGCCCGTGGCACAGTGTGGTGATGGGGGCTACAGCAACTGGATGCCAGAAAGTGGCCTATAGGGCTATATACTGCATGGAATTATAAAGTTGTAAAGACAGCGGCCTATAAGGCTATACACACACTATAACAATCATGACTTGATTGACCATTGGCCTATAAGGCTATACACAGCATGAATATCAAGACTTATTCTGAGAGTGGTTTGGAAGGCTATATACAAAAAGTAATTCATGAGCTGTCCGGACAGCGGACAATAAGTACAATAAGTACAAATCAATTCATCAGCTTTTGGAAGGCTATATACAAAAAGTAATTCATGAGCTGTCCAGCCAGCGGCCTCAAAGGCGACACATATAGAAAGCAATTCATGAGCTGTTCAGACAGCGGCCTCTAAGGCGACAGATATACAAAGCAATTCCCGAGGTGTTCAGGGAGCGGCCTGAACGGCTAGGTTATTACTAAATATATTTACGATTATACGATTATACGATATTATACGATTCTGTGTCCCTGAGTAACGATTCTGTGTCCCTGAGTAACGATTCTGTGTGCCCTGAGTAACGATTCTGTGGCCCTAAAGTCTCTGTGTGGCCCTAACTCTGTCCCTTAATACACACAGGTCTGTCTCTCTTGAATGACCGGAGGCTAATGGAGACGCGATCTAAGATGGCCGCGATTTATAGCTCCACCATTACACAGTGCTGGCTGGCTGCTGATTGGCTAATGCGATCACATGTCATGAATGCATTATGGGTCAGTGCGCCTTGTCTGCGCGCCTTCCCAGAGATCCCCGCCCCATCTTCTCTGTCCATTTTCTCCGTCGCCACACATGTCGCCGCCATTTTTGGGAAAATTCGATTCGTGCATCCGAAGTTTGCTAATCTTCGGATTCGTCGCGAATAGAATTTTTCCAAATCTTCGGAACGAATTCCACTTCGTCATGTTCGATTCGCTCATCTCTAGTTATGACACAGTTTGGCTTTTAATGGTTTTTAAGCTCAGTGTATGTCTTGTTTACCTTGTAACAAATGCAGAAAAATTAGCTCAAGGAGTGCCAAAATCTTAATATATCCATAAGCTATTTTAGAATTCTCTGCTGTACCTAAGCTACTAAAACATTGTATTTACTTATCAACATTACTAGGCACATGCACGCAATTGTCAAAGTCGCAAACTCTGTTCAAGGTCAGGATCTGTGGTTGGGCACCACCATTGACCTGCTGGCTCTGCCTGAATGTCATCCTTTGACAGAAAACACATGTTCTGTCACCATCTGTGTTTTGGTGCTAGAAAGTGGAGGAAGCCTGGAGCATCTGACTTGTTTTAAACAATTGTTTTTACAAGGTAAGTTAAAGATGGCACATTAAAGTGGGCTTTGCACTGAAACGCAAGGGTCACTTATTAAGTATTGGACCACACCCATGTAAAATATCTCCATTTTACATATAGAAAAAAAACTTGCAGAGAAATAAAAAAAACGTGTTTACCCTACACCCAGCTTCTGCACAGGTGAGGGTAACATCATGGTGGTTCCTTGTAACAAGCAGTACTCCATATCTCAAGAGAAAATGCTTCTTCACTGTTTGGGATCCTTATGCAGGCCATAGACGGGCATTTGGCCGATAAACGAAAAATCGGTCCGCCCCGTTGCCACCAATGTCCACGAAAAATGGCTGTTTTTCGCAGATTTTCCAGCATTTCCGATAAAACTAAACGAGAAGATCCGTGAAAAACAGCCGACAGGCTGGCCCCACTAATGGCGTGAATATCGGCTGATTTTACATGCGGATGAAAATTCGGCCGATAAACGACCCGTCTATGGCCTGCATTAGCATCCAAAGGATATTGCTTGGAAGGATTATGACATCACCTTCGCCTAGTCATCACAGACCTGGGTGTAAGGTAAGTTTACAGTATTTTTTTAATTTTTTTTCTCTACAAGTTCACTTTAAAGTTGAACTACAACCTTACCACATAGTAGTACAAGATCTTCTCCTGTACTGTGAGATTCTCACAGTATGCATTAAAAGATGCAGCAGGTCAGATAGATCCTGTCTTATCTCCCGGCTTGATGACAGTCTGCATCATCTAGCACTTTCCTCCCCAGACTTACAATCCGTGACCCACTCCTTTTATTAAATAAATTTCAGTTCTATCAATCACAAAGGCTCAGTATCATATGTTGATGTGACCATAGCTTCCTTTTTTTAGAAAGCTATGTACAGCATCCTGCTGACCCTTGCACCAGCCATGATGTGCTTGCATTTCGTAGAGAAGCACAGAGACCTACTGATAAAGTCACTGTCTAACATAAGGTATGTAATGAAAACAGGTTTTCTTTAATAATTTCATATAAATACTAAACATTTTTGTTCCTTACAGTGGAAGTTCAGCCAAATAAATTTTTTCATCTTAATGTAGGGAATGCATTAACGTGTAAGTTCAGCCAAAACCTAATCTAATGCTAAAACTACTCCCAGACCCATTCTAAGCCAATATACAGTATCTTACCCTGTACAGAAAAGTTTGCTATACTTACCTATTCTGAAGCAGGTCCAGTCCAGTGGCAGGCTAAGCTGTCAGCGGCAGCTTCTGTATAGAGCAGAGGCAGCCGACAATGGATGCCCCATAGTAAGTATATGGGTGATGTAATCTCTTATTTATTACCCATCCTTTGTCGGCTTTCTCTCTCCACACAGAAGCCAACGGACTGGAGCGGCTTCAGAAGAGGTAAGTATTTCTTCTACATTAGGCTTAGAATGGGGTTGGGAGTAGGTTTAGCATTTGATTGGTTTTGGTTGAACTTCCACTTTATTGCAGTCACTGCATTAGGGTGAAAAGTGTTCCAGTAGCAGGAAACCCCACCCACCCCCACCTTATTCTCATCTCACTCGTTTCAGAGCTGTGCCTGACTGTAGCAACTGTCTCCTCTCTTCCTGCTCTCACAGGGTTTGCTGAGGCAGAGGGAGTCATTGGCTCTTGCTGCTATCAGTCAACTCCTTTGAATAGAGGGTGAGAAATGGGTCTGAGTCAAGTGTTTGTGTGTCTATAGACGCAGGCAGCACGGCTCAGTATCGAGCCTGCATGTGCACCCCCATAGGAAGTGGCTTCCTATGGAGGCCCACAGAGAAGAGAAGGAGCCAGGAGCGCTGGTGGGGGACTCAAGAAGAGGAGGATCGGGACTGCTCTGTGCAATACCATGGGACAGAGCACATAAGTATAGCATTTGTTATTAAATTAAGACTTTACAATCATTTTACCTTTTAAGGACAGCTATTAAATGGCTTACAATTATATAAAGTAAACATGGCCTTGCAAGCCTAATGTCTCACATTCCTTGCTCTGGCTAGAGGGTGTTCCACTCCCATTGCCAGTGAGTTAGAGCACTTGGTGGGTACAGCAATTCATCAACACCACATCACAGCAGCCAAAAGTTCAGAAAACACCCTCAGCAGCTATGTACCATAAGGGGGCTTTTAAACTATGTCCTTCTTTTGGCCTAATCAATACATTCATAATACAGACTTTTATAACACCTTTGTTACTTCGCCAGCAATGACAGAAACCTTCAGTATTATAAAAACATGCTTTTTTTAAACCTATCAAGTTAGCCAGCAGTATCATTCGAAATCCTGTTCTTTCTGCTTTCTGCAGCTCCTACAATATATCTTGGTTATATATGGTTACAAATGAGCTATGCTTGCAGTTTGTGTATACAAAGGGTTAAAGACTGAGTGTTCATAAGAGTATGTCTTAAATAAAGAGACCTTCCAAACTAGCATTGGCCTAACAACGACATTTTAATTGCAGGCAATCCCTGCGCAATTGTGCACAAAAGATTTTTTTTTTAATACCCTCCCCCGGACATTAACAAAGGTTATTATCCTGTTCTTTCTCAGGTTTAAAAGGAGGCTCCCATAATCCAAACCAAATCAACCTGACCTTTGAACCTTTTCTGCTGTACTTTTTCTCATGCCACAATTTCTTTAGTGCTAGTGAGCTGAGGGCCCATTTCTGGGCTGCAGCTGATTTCCCAGACAGCGCTGCCTTTCGTCCCCTGACAAATCACTGTGGAGCCCCTTTTGTCCTATGTCGCTTTGATCTCACCTGCCTGTCAGGGGAAAAACGAGAGCTCCGTACAGGCAAAAGCATTGCAAACAAATTGGCAATAGGGCAGCTTACAGGGGAGGCTGAAGAGGGGGCAACTTTAGCATATCTGAGCAATAATGAAATAGGTGCGTTTAACTTAGCCATGCTTGGATGCTGCAGAACACCCACGGGTAACTCATTCAGCTTGTCAGTCTATCTTTAAAGTGTGCATCAAGCCAAAAACTTTTTTTCTAGTTTTGGACAGAGTGGGAAAGGATTACAACTCCTGTTTTTTCTGCTATCCAGGGCTCGAGAGATTTATATTTGCTTCCTGTACTGTTCACAATAGTTTCACAAAAACAGGAAGTAAAGGAAACCTGAAACAGAAAGAAATAAAAATCTGACGGGGGGTTCTATCCTTCCCCTACTTTACTACAGAAGAGCTGTTTTTTTGTCTGTCTCCCTGTTGCAGATTTTCCCTTACTTCCTGTCTGGTAAAACAATATCAGCAGGATGGGAAGTGAGGTTAAATATGTTTAATAGACTCCCAGATTGCAGTAAAACCTAATTGGGGAGGGTTTTCCAACC